CAGCATCTGGAAAGTTTTACTTTTTATTTTTCTAAAATACAAATGTCTTTTTGTGTTAGTAACTTTAATATGATAGGCCGAATGCATCCAATAAAAAGGAGGCACTGGCTACAGAATTCAAAATACTGAAGGTATTTTCTGGAAAGAAATTTATTCCGTTGTTCTACACTTTAGATATAACATTGAATCAAATCCATTAGTTATTATTTTTACATCAGAACCTTTGAAGTTTGGGACTAATAAACTGGAACTTGAAAAGTTTTTAAAATAAACTCCTATTAATGTGTAGATATGGATCCATAAAAAACATAACCAAGAATTTTATACACTTTATTAAAAGATCAAAAAATAAACAATAACAATATAGAAGTAACATACTAAAATGAGTAGCATTATGCACATTTCTAAAGCACGTACAAGCACTACAGCAATATAACGTGGCAAAAAGAAAAATAAATTCAAAGCGTACACCCTGTTGGTAGCAGTTGAGGGAATGAACTATCATGTTATGGAACTGAAATATTGCATTAGTCTACGCCTGTCTGGATCTGATGATATTTTAATTTCTTACAATTCCACAGGGCTAACTGTAATTGTTTGTATATATTTTCTAAACTATACCATTAAATTGATATCTAATGTTTCCCTTACTTTGTTTTACCAGAAATGCCTACGGAAAGAAGAATGTGCTTCAAAGATCTACTTTACACAGTACAGTATAAATGTTTTTATATATTTAAATTAAAAATTGACAATTTAGGAGAACATTCTCTTTGATTTCAGTGATTGCCTAAAATACAATTCTCTCTAAAAAAAATAGCGATCTGTTGTCAGGTGATATAATAGTGTGGGGAGTCTTGGTTTATTTTCATGATTTAAAATAGAAATATAATTAAAACAAAGCTCATTGGAAAGAAAAAAAAAAAATCCATAATCCAATCTAAGAATGGTCTTATCATCCCCTCATCTGCTAGGATACAAAAGCCATGGCAACAAAATCATTTGGCTTCCACCACTATCAAATAGCATCTGTGTACAGTAATAAAGAACTGGAACCTTGTAATTCGGTGTCAGGTAATTCTCTCTGTTGTGTGTTTGGAAAAATAACTTCGTTTTATTTAATAGTTGTGTTATTTTTGCATGTTTAAATATCTCTTTTGAGAGGCATATATAGAATTATTTTTGATGATAGAGGATGTCAGTAAAGATCACTAGCAAAGATTTTAGCAGTGTTGTCATGATCATGCTCATAGCCCCACGAAAAGTTTGGCCAGCTACGATTCGTTTCACATAGTGCAAAATATTTTTCTCTCATAATCCTAGAAATGTGAAAGAGCTTGGTTATAGAAATTGGTTGCAGCAAAGGGAAGCCTTAATAGCACGGTGGCTAGAATTAGCCGATTAGTTCCTATTAAAATCTAAGTTATTGTGACACCCACGAAGAGAGGCGACACCTGATTTTTTTTTTTTTTTTTTTTTTTTTTTCCCCCCATTTTTAAAGACGCTGGGACCGCACGACGCTACGGCTCCGGTTCAGCAACCCCCCTGCTTGAACGGACCTGGTGGAGCAATGCGGGCTGGCGTCACCGGCTCCTCCAGCGGCAGCCGGAGAGCAGGTCTGGCACTCGGCAGCGACACCTCAGCCCCCGACCCCGCAACGGGCAGGAAAGGGAGACAGTGACATCGGGTGCCACCACCCCACCCGCTCTGCTCTGGGGCGCTCGGCTCGCTGCTCGAGTCGGGACCAGCCTCCCGGTGAAACCGGCCGCCTTGCTGAAGCAAATCTGGGGCTTGGGTTTTGGGGAAAAAAAAAAAAAAACAAACCAAAAAAACCAAAAGAAACAAACAAAAAAACCCCAACCCAAACCAAACCCACTGACTTGTTCCAATCAAAAATAAATGGGTCAAGACAGGCGCTTGAGCTTCTCCGGAACCAGCCCCCTCCCCGGGGCCTGCAGAGCGCTGGCAGCCCCCCCAGCACCGCGGGAAGGGAACCACGATGCTGCTCAGCAGGCTGGGGGAGCAGGGCCGCGCTCGGCCTCGGGGGGCAACGCCACGGGGCTCGCTAACCCCGGCCAGAAGCCCCGAGCTGGCCGTGCCCAGCTCCCACCCCCCCGCCCCGGCGCTCCTCCGGCAGCGTGCGGGAGGCAGCAACCGGGCAGCGCTTGTCCCGCGGAGGGACGCCGGGCAGCAGAGGCAACCGGCCCCGTCCATCCCCTGCTCATCAGTCCCCTCCCTTGCCCCACAAAGCTGAAAAAAACCTCCCCCAGCAATAAAAAAAAAAAAAACAAAAAAAAAAAAAAAAACCCACCAAAACGCTAAGTCGCGACATTTCAAATTCCCTCTGGGATTTAAAACGCTCGCTGCAGTGACAGTCACCTCTAACGGATAAACACTTCCAGCTAGAAATAGGATTAGGTGCTAGGAAAAATGTGTGCCTGCCGCCACGGACCCGTCAGTCCTCACAGGATTCACCGAGAACACGACCTATCAGAAACATGACCTAGGGTGTGTTTGGAAATCTAGGCCGATTAAAAAAGAACAAAAGTAAATCAAATCTTTGCTAGTGACCTTACTAATTAATTAAGCACTGTTTCCCATTTCTCCGTGCTGCAGGTTGGAGCTGACCTGTTATCAGTCTGCTGTATAATAAGCTATGGCAAACTACAAAGCTTTTACAACAGCAAAGCAACATCATGCTTTCAGATAAGTTTTATAGCAAAAAACTCCTCCTTTTCAAAGCCTTAGTAATACCTATCTCTTTTACAAACTTTTCCTGTATTATTACAGACTTTTAATATTCAAAATAAGTTCCAAGGATTTCTTTCGTGGACTATGTACATAAGTGCAAAAAAGGTGTGTCTCACACATTCGTACACTAACTGAATCAGTTTAACTGCAGCATATTTGTATCTTCAACACTGTTACAGGGTCATTCCACAATATTTTTTTTTTTTCTTATGTACAGTTTTTGCTAATATAAATTAGTATTAAAATAGTTATATGCTTAATTATTTAGCCCTGATCGTAACATAATCGCGTGAGTGCTCAATTTCTGGAGAAAAGAAAATCGCAGGCAGAGCTACAGTACGGAAACGGATTAATTCTGAATTCCCACCGTGTGAATGAACGTGAAATGAAAGCAAGACCGGTCACTACGTCGTAAATACAGGTTGTCGCGTTTTCGAAGTGAAAATACTGTGGAATAACCCTTGCCACACAACAATTTCTACAAGCTATAAAACCTGACTCTAAATCCATGTGTTGTAAACTTCTTGACTGAAAGAGTGACCTTAAAGACACAAATTCAGCGTTCACATGGGACTTTGGGATTTTAAAAATATTCAGTCATATCTTTATCTGACAGTATCGAACTGTACCTTTAACAAGCTCATACTGTTACACATCACTTTTAATTTACATGTGAAAATTTCACAAATAATGTATACAAAGGTAGCCATGTTGTAGTTTTGTTGCCATAGCAACAACAACTTAATATAATTAGTTAACAATGAATCTATCATTGTAGGAGTTACATACAAAGTTAATTTTGTTCTTAAACTGTAAACTATACAAACTAGTTATGGACTGTATTCTATACCTTACCATGCTTCAGTGTTGGTTTAGAATATAACTAAATGGGCTGAATACATGTATTAAAAATTTTTAAACTTTCTCTAACTCTCCTTCAAAATTAAATTCATTAGTTACTAAAGATATCAAAAAAAGCAATAATGAAAACCTTAAAAACTAATGGCAGAGAAATGAAAATATATGACATGAATCAATGCGTTGTAGCCTAGTAACAATGTGTTGTAGCTCTATTTACATTTGGATTAGGCTATCAACTTTTTTTTTTTTCTTTTTTAAAAGTTATTACAGTCTTTAACATACAGTATATACTCTAAGGCCTTCAACAGGCACATGGTAAAATCAGGTCAATATCAAACTAAATCCATTCAACAGGAATGGGAAATTAGATTTTCCTCATAAATTTCACCTTTCTCAATTTTCATGTCTGTGAAATGTACAAGGGATAAAGAAAACGAGGGCTCCAGTTTCTCAATCCTCGCGCGCCCCGGAGCCGCTCCGCCGCGGCGGAGGAGCAGACGTCTCGTCTCGCCAGGCGCACGGAGGAGAGGCCAGCGTCACGGGGCCAGGCACACGGGCTCCTCCCGGGGCCGGCTGCACCCCCGGCCCCCCGGCCCCCCGCTGCCCCGGCCCCCGGCCCCCGGCCCGGGAGGTCACGGATTCCGGAACGTCGCGATGCAAAAATAGACAGTCAAAAATCATCGGCTAGAAATTTCCAACTAAAAAACACGGCTGATTGTGAAATCATGTTCCAAATTACTAAAACCACTGTATTTAACAAAAATAATCTTAATAGTTTTATGAATCCATTTTATTTTAAATCCCTCTTTTATTGTCTGCTTATGTTACAGTTTAGTAGTAGTACTTTTTATTGAAACTACTAACAACCTTTTTGCGTGAAAATGATCAATCTCAGCTTTCATTTTCCCTCTGCATGACCCGTTTTATCCAAGTTTCAGCATTTCTTGCATAATGTTTGCATAAGGCTGAGAGAAATGGACAAAGAGAAATAACTTTGGATAAAAAAAAATATAGGTTCATGGAAAGTGGGAAGCTTATAAAAATGTCACTAAAATTATATCGATTTAAACAAACTTACATACATCTCTTGTCAAATAAAGGATGATATTCATGCTTTTATGACATTTGTTTAGAGTCACTAGCTAGCTCGGTGACTTTGTAATAGTCTATTTAGGAAATTTATAGTCTGGCGACTGTTTTTTTTTTTTTTTTCTTTTCTTTCTTGAACAAAGAAAATTAGAGCAAGTCATTGCACAACTAGTTTAAATAGTGCTACCTCAAAATGGCATTTTTGCCGAGATTGTTTTGAATTTGGTGAAGTTTAGTGCTTCAAGCTTTTCTTTCCTTAAACTCATTTACAAATTAACTCTAAATTTGCCAGCATATAAAAACTGTTGTGGCACCTAATATAACTACCCTGAACATCCCTCATTGGACCTCTTTAATAAAAAATAATCCTTAAACGCCTTTTTTTTTTTTTTTTTTCAGTGCTTTAAATGTGACATGAAAACAGCTGTATTCTAGGTTTACATTCTATGCACATCTATGCCAGATGTTTAAGTCGATAAATAAAATAGGAGGTTACATCAAAGTGTCAAGATATACAAAAATCCATTTAGCACTGAAAAAATTCCAACCTCCTTGAACTCATAAAGCCATACAAGCTTGAATGCATCCTTTCTGGCTTAAGAAGATCAGCTCTGTTCTTTGTTGAGGCACTGGCACAGGTTGTGCAAAACCCATTTTTGATACACAAATAATTTCAAACAGGAAGTACTCAAATCCACTTTTTCCACTAACAATGTTATGGTTTCGGGAAACAGAAACTCAGTGGTGAAAAGAACAGGTATGCGGTCACCAGTACAAACGAGAGTCACTGGTTTCTGGCAACGCTGCTGCCTGTGAGCGCCAGCGGTGCTGGGGAACATCCACGGACACAAGCCACTGCCAAAACACGGGGTCCGTAAAGGAGGGCCTGGTTTGGGGCGGGGGAATGGTTTTTCCCCTTGTCTCAGGGTTTGGTTCAAAGCCTGAGGAAACGAATGGGGAGATTCCTTCTGGCAAGAGGCCTTTGTGAGCTGGGCTCTTCAAAGGTGCTTGCTACGGGCCGAGGGTCAGACCCTACTCTGGGACGCACTGGCTGTACCCTAAATGCCCCTCCGTCACTCGTGGTCCGTGGCAAACTATCTGTGCTCACACTGGAGGAGAGGGGGGCAAGGAAAGTCTCTAACCCAGGCCAAGGAACTCGGAAAAGAAAAGCAAACCTAGCTGTCAGAATTTGGCACCCTACAGCACCCCGGCGAGCTCGGGGTGGCCGCCCCCCTGGGCACTGGGAGCTGGCCTCTTGCTCAGTTTCAACAACAATTCTCTTTCTCTTTGTATGGAGTTTGCGGATTTGCAGCAGCAAATCCATCCTCTCCATAATGCCAATGATACTGTAGAGCCGTGACGGGGGTGAATTTGGCCGTTTTCTCAACCAAAATGCATTCTACAGCCAGATTGTTCAGCAACGCAGCGTAACGACAGGCGGGGCTCTCCAGGGTGCACGGGCTGGAAATCGTTTTATTCGTGCGTATGGAAAGGAGGTATCGAGAACTAGCCCTTGTTGTGCAGCAAACATTGCTCTTGATCAAGTAGAAGGTGCCGAAATAAATCCACTGACCTACAGGATCTCCATTAAGATGAACGTTTTTCTACAGTAGAAAGCTTACGCCCAGGTTTTTCCTGCTTTGTTACTGATGTGTTTGGTTTCAAGGGCCAGAGATCACGGGGAAAAAAAAATCACTCACTTATGGAAAATGGTGATTAAAATAATCAGTGCACGCTGACAAAATTTCAAGAGGAGCCACGTAAGATTTCAGGCCGAAATGTTTCAGCATGCTTAGTGGAGACAAGCCCCGGGCACAGTATTCCCCAGCCTGGGCTAAGCCATGGCTGTGGGCCCACTCCAGCCAACCGTTGGCATCTGCTCCTCTCCAACACAACCAGTCTTTGCCCAGCTGAAGCTGTCTCACTTCACCACCTGGGTTTTGGTTGTTTTTTTTTTTTTTTGTGTTTTTTTGCTTTGACTGCACCATGAAAACAGCAAGAGAGATTGTGCGCCGTTTGCAGCTGAGAATGCACTTCAATGGACAACAGAACTGCAGAAGAAATCCCTTGATGCTCACCACCGTCTGAGCAAATCGTTCCTGTTCCTGTCCCCTCACTGAACCTGGGCTTTTGTGGGGCTTTTTCCAAAAGTTTCCAGACTCAGCTCATTGTATCTAAAGAAATACCCTGAACTGGACTAAAATTACAGCTGTCCTTTCATAGTACTTATACTAAAAATTCGGAGACTCTATCTGAAGGCAAATTTTAAAGGATAAAAGGAGCATTTAACACAAGCAACTTTAGCTGACATTAGCAGTAAAATCCAGCAAAGGGCAGAACATTCCTGTGTCGTGGTTTTCAAGCACATAATTCCTGTTTCCCACAATAACATTTTTAGTAAAAAACAAACAAAAACCCATAAAACCTACAGTATATGAAAACTTAAGACATAACAATAATGAAAAAATGGTATTGAGTATACTTGATAATGATGTACACTTTAAAACAAATCAATAGACTATGATGTAAACAAAACAGTAAGATAACACTTCAAAAACAAGACAAACATTTATCCATCGATAGTATACAGTAAACCAACAGTCCGCTGTGCAGATGCACTTATCAGGATGGTAGTCATAAAATGATTAAGTGTGTTAAAGTAATGTGTTATAAAAGTCTATTATAATTTTCTACTTGTATATCTCATATAACAGAGCGCTGTTTGTTAATTGTTTCTATAGTGCTTTTTTTTTTTTTTTTTTTTTTTTTTTTTTTGACATTCCCATTGATCAGTTTTTGGTTAACATGTAGGCTGCAACAGGCTTACTGTAGAGGTGGTAGAGAACGATAGAGGGAAAAGGGGATATATACAGAAAGGCCATGCGCAGCTTCCCACCAAGAAGTCCTGGTGCTCCATAATTTTACTGTTCAGAATTTCAACATGGTCTGCTGCAGGGGAAAGACAAAACGACAACAAAGAAAGGGTGAGAAGTTAGAGAGAGATATATCTGTATTTTAATAAAAGTAATTCTAATAAGATACATTTACATCCCCCACTGTGATGCCCACGAGGTTGCCATTAGTATGTTGCAGAGAGAAAACATTTTATTCCCTTAATTTTCTGATGTAGGGCGAAACTGCTAATAGCACACTTGGCATCCTCTTTAATCTGCACTTTGGGCTTTCCATTGCCAGGGCACTTCACACACACTGACAAAACAATCAGTGGAAGAGGGAGGTGAGCGAATAACAGTCTTATTTTTGGACAGGATAGCAGGTGGAGAGTGATTAAGGAGAGGGCCGAAGGAATCCCTGACCGCTGTTAGCTCCCGTTTCCTTCGGAGAGAGCCACAGATAGTCACACAAAAATCTGATCCTAAGGAGCCACGAGCCAAAGGCGAATTGGGCCCAGAGGCAAAACGCAGGCTCAGAAACCCTGTGCTCAGGGGACCCTCTCCTGGGAGCAAACCGCCTCTCCTGGGATGGGCTCAGGAACATCCTCCCCTGAAGGCCCCAACACTCGTTTCCCGCAGAGCTAGGCTAGCCAGCCTGGCTACCAGGACCTCGGCAACCACGGAGGGCAAGAAAAGCATCTGCCACAGCTGCAAGTGTTTCGGTTGCCCAGCTCCCACTCAGGGCAGCTTTGGGAATTGCCCCTCAGCACTGCGGAGTGCCAACCAAGGTCCTCGTCTGGCAAAACACTCGAGCACAGGCATAATTTCACATGCTCGGGTGGCAGCGCCAAACGATGAGCCCTCGAGAGATCTGCTCCCCTTTAGTTTACGCACAGACACGGGGAGGGGTAACAACCCAGGCGTGGCATCAAAACGCACAGGCTGTTGCATGGAAATGGTCACGGGTGGGTCTGGGAGCACTGGGAATGCTAGGGGACAGAGCCCTTTTCTACCAGCCTCTGAAGGTGGTTTATGTCCTGCAGCTGCGAGGTCTTAAGAGGACAAGTGCTTTTGGCAGAGCGGTGCCCTCATGAAGAACAGGCTCCTTGTCTGACCCAGACCTGGACCCTCTCCATGCCCAGTAGCCTGATCCCCAAGAAATCCCATCAAATTCGTGCTGACCCTACTTCTTTCAAGCAAAGGTTTTCCTTAACAGCACAGCCAATGCTTTGTTCAACAGACTGTGCTGTGCTCCCTACTTACTAAAGAAATATGTCCCATGGAAGTTCCTCGCCGAGTCTGAAATCACTATTGACAGTGCGAGTTTAAGCACGTGCACAGACGTGAAAATGAAAAGAACTCAAGAAAAAAAGAAGCTTCCTGAAATAAATGCCGAAAACAACCTCAAAGAGTTCAAGAATGAGGCTCTTCCCATGCAAATGATCTCCTTATCGGGTGGAACAGGCTGCTTTGCACGTGTTATGGAAATGGGTTAACATGCCAGGTGTCACGTCTGTCTGCCTGTTGTTTGGGGGAGCTGCACACTGTGGAACACGGAACACGCTCGCTAACGGGGACAGCTTGGTGTTCTCCCCTCCAGGAACAGGGGTCCGTGGCCACAGTTTCACGGCTCATTCATACGTACGTTACTTTATTAAGGTCAGCAGAGCAACTTTTGTTGACTGCTAAAGGTATCATTAGAGAGTTGCTTGCCAAATTAATTTCCACCTGCTCGTAATACGTGACCCAGGGAAGAAACACGTTGTGTGTCTGTGTGTACTAAATGGTCTGCACTGGGAAAATCTGGTGACCTTTAGTTGAATTGGCCGAACTGCTCTTTACTCTCATGGGGTAAAAGGATACAGTGACGAACTGAAACCCTCAGGGGATTTTCTGTCATGAACATCAGCTAACACAAAGAAAAGCAATGGAAAAATGACACTGCTGCTATGGCTGTGAAATAATACTCTGTAAGTCAAAGAAAAGGACAAACTCCTCCCTCGTTGCCACTCAGAGAAACCTAGCAGCCTAGGGAAGCCCAGGATCTGCAGGCAGGGTGAAGGATATGCTTGATGCTTGTGGCGTTCGTCCTGGGCTTAAACACGTACAAGGACCCGTGATGAAACCTCCCACGAGCCAGGCCCCCACTGCAGCCGAACAGCTCAGACCAAGCCAGCCTTGCAGATGCAGAGCAGCTGATGATGACCGATCCTGCTTACCCCAGGAAAGGAAACATGCCGCTAACAGCAAAAGAGAAGTTACACCTTTTCAGCTGACTCATTACCAGAGCAGTCTTTACTGTCAATAGCGCAAATCCCCGAGGCACCTGCAGGCAGCTGGGAGCCGTGCAGAGCAAGAGTGACCTGTAAACACAGCCATCAGCCTCCGAGGGACGCAAGAAGGGAGGCAGCCAACACCGTGAACCAGGTATTTTAGGCACAAGGAAACGCTGCGGGTTATAAACCAGAGGGCTGGTCCGTGTCTGCGCTGCAGCTGCTGGATTTCTGCTGAGTTTGCAGAGCGCGGAGCCACCGGGGTCCCGCAGGCTCGGCCCCTCCGCCCGAGCCAGCCCCGCTTTGGGGGATGCTGTGCCCTTGTACAAAGCAATCCACCGTAAAGAGAAATACCGAAAAGGGACTTACTGTTCTATTGGGAACTTCTACATCTGTGAAACAAACATGCTGCTACTCAGTTCATCTACTGATAACTGGGATATCTACAGCAAAAGAACAAAGAAACAACACATTAAAACATTGTCTTGAGATCGGGCTGCTCATTCTGTCTTCAGTATCAGGTTAGTAAGTACATCAGTGTCTTATAAAACAGGATCCATTCCCAAAACGTCTTTATTTTGCCACACATTAAGTACAACGTAGCTGCATCACTACTGATGCCTCGTGGAGTACGTAGTGATTATACTGGGATTTTAACTCCATAGCCTACAAGTGAGACAGAAATGCCCTGAAACTATCTGGCTGAAACAGGACTCATACAGCCACAGAGCAACGCTGCACAGGAATTTCTGCTTTCTTCTCATGACCAATATGAGCATGAATAAGACCTGCTCTACCTGAAAATAACAACAAAGCACGGAAAAAGACTAGCAATCCCTACAGCGAGCAGTAAAACACTGCCTAGGACTTACGCAGGCAAAACTACTGAAAGCCTTGTGACCTGGCACTCGCAAAAGACTAGAGAATGCCCCCTGAGATTTTTACTGACGTTTGGCATGGCTAGCAGCCTCCTACAGAACAAAGTGACACCCTGTTTTCTTTGCAATAGCTCTAAGCCTGAGAGCATAACAAATAAAAATACTGAAATTAGTATTGGGGGGAAAATAATAATAATAATAATAATAAAAAAAAAAAGTCTTTGAAATGTCTCTGGTCTAACTGGGAAAAGTTGTGGCACACCAAATTATCAGGAAGCATCACTAGGACAGGTTGTGCATATACAGTTCAGGACTGGTGCGGAAGCAGCCATCACAACTCAGTATCTTCAGAGGAAAGTTTTGGAGAGAATTATGGCTCGGCAGACATGCATGAAATCCTGTACACTTATGGCAGTGCTACAACGGCACGTACTGCACATCCAGAGTCATTTCTGTAGGGATGGGTGACATGCTACTGGTGTAAAGAAGCTTCAGACTTCACAGACTCACCCCCGATTTTTTGGGTTTTGGGGTCTTTTTAGTAGTTTTTAGAGTCCAATCTTGCAGTGGGGGGAGCCCACTCTGTGTTTCCACTTCCACTTTCCAGCCAGGAGGGGACATGCCAAAATACCACGGGGAAGGATGCTCGGGGTGGTATTTCTGCTTGAGACTGAAAGCAGAAGCGCTGCAGGTCTTGCGCGACAGTACGCTCGGGAGTTTTCCATCCCGTTTTTTTGGGGGGGTTTTGTTTTTTTTTTTTTTTTTTGGGGGGGGGGGGGTGTGGGGGTGTGGGGGAGGGGGGGAGGGGGGCCCCAGGGCGGGTGTTGTTTTTGGAGAAGCGCCTGCACCCCTGCCGATCGCCCATCCCTACGCTCCGGCCGGTGCCCTCTCACCGATCCCCGGGACGCACGCACACGCACACGCGCACGCACACCCACGCGGCGCACGCAACGCACACGCTGCCCCTGCGCGCCCGAGCCTGCGCCGAGCCGAGCCGGCGCTCGGCCCCGCGCAGGATCCGGCCCTCGCCCGGTCCTCGAGATCTCAACACGTGAAAGAAAGCCATTGAAAGGGCCAAACCTGATTGGCGGTAGCTGTTGCAGCGAAGGGGACGCTGGTGGCAGGAGTTGTTGCTGCAGACACAGTGGTGGGCGTAGCACCGTGCATCATGGGCACTTTCGGAAGGGAACCATGGAAGCGACATACGGGAGGGTGGAGCGCATATTTGTTTTGTTTTGTTTTGTTTTGTGGTTTGTATTTTTTTTTTGGTTGTTGTTGTTGTTTTTTATTTGTTTTATTATTTTTTTTTTTAATATATATATATATATAAATGTAACCATGGCAACATGTGGTGGATTTGGGGGCGTGGCAGGAATCACAGCAACAAGCCATGTGACATCGTCATGAAGGACACATCGGGGCGCAGCATGCAATCACAGTGCAAAGCAAGACAGCGTTGGGAAAAAAAATAAACAAGAGAGAAGGGGAAAAGCCAATTACAATTATAATTAAGGAAAAAACCAAAACATTCTCAACACTTAGTACATTTATAAGCAGAACAATGATGTATTAGACTCTGAGGGCCAAATTTCCAAAGGGGGGAGAGGGTGGGTGTGCTAGCAAAAGCCCACGTCAGCTCGCACCCGTGGGGAGTTAGACACAGCCAGTGCACGTTCCTTTGGGTGGGGACATTTTGGCAAGCGCACCCTCCCGCCCGCCTGGGAAAGCTTGTCCCCTTCCCTCCCCACCCCATCCCCGCCAGCAACCAGAGGTACATGATGCACTTTGCAGCGGCTGCCACAGCCCTTTCACCGGGTTTTCTTGCCTCTCTCTAGCAGGGACGATGTTTCGGCACGGGACAGAGCTGGAGGCACGGCAAACGAGCGGCTGGCAGCCCGAGCTCTCTCCGTACAAATTCAGCGTGCTTCCTTTCCACCCTACTTCTAGTGGATTTGGCAAAACTCCCCTCTTTCGGGGTGGAGGGGGATGGAGAGGGAGGGGGCCGAGAGGGAAAAATACACGAATGCATCTGAACAGCTACAATTTGCAGAAAGAGCATCCGAAAGGACAACACGGCAGCAGGGAGCTTGGCAGCCTCTGGCAGCTGCGTGTGCCGCAGAGCGCGGTGCCAGAGGGGATGCTCCAGGGCACACACGGGCATCCCCCAAACCCGGGGAGGGGGGTTTGCCGGGCTGGGGAGCCCGCTGGAAGGCCCGGCCGTCCCGGCAAGCATGCGGCGGGGCAGCAGACCTGCCTTCCCCCTCCGCCCCAGCAGATACGGCGGGGAGCGTGCGCGCCCCCAGCCACGGGACGTCGGGGTGTGTGGGCTGGGGTTTCCTACAGGCAGAGGTGTGTCTGAAGGGCTCAGCTCCCCGTCATGCAAGCGGTGTGTCCTCCCTGCGCTACAGGGACGGGGAGGCTGGAGAGCAGAGTGCTTAGCCATTCCTGCCAAAGCTTTCAGGCCTGCTCCTCAAAAACCTTGCACCCTCCCCGGGGCTCCTGCTCCTGTCTCTTTCCTCTGGCTGAAGCAGGCACACACCTAGATGCTGGTAGTCTTGTATAACCTTGGTTGGAGGACGAAAGCTCAGCTCTCACCCACCCCGCTGCGCCCAGCAGCTGTAGACAGAGGAGAAGCTCCCTCAAAGACCCGCACAGGTTCCCAGTAAGACCCAGATGCCTAGCCTGAACATACGGGATCCCTGCAGCAGCAAGGAGCATGTACTCAGCCCTGCTGCCTCACTGCATCCCACACGCACCGGCAGTGGTCCCTTCTACCTGCACAGCTCACACTGCACTGAAGGGACGAGTCTTCAGCCAGTCCACGGCCTAAGCCCTGCTCCTCTCGCTGTACAAGCAGTGCCCTGCTCTAGCAGAGGGGCTGACCCCAGCTGTGTCCCTCCTTAGCGGCTCTATTAAACCAGTCTCCTAAAATGTCCTCAGGAGGACAACCAAAAATCCAAACTCTAATTCACCTGATGCAAAAAAAAAAAAAAAAAAAAAAACAAAAACCAACAGGATCCTCCCGTTGCTATTTCCTTTTATTGGATGACTTAAATGGGTTGTAAAGACATTTAAGTGACAAATTTTTGTCTCTGCAGCAGAACTAAATAGGGGTGGGAATGCATTCACCTTGGACTCTCTTATTAGTCACATGAAACACTGCACTGCACAGAAATTAAAAGGGATACAACCATTTAAGCCTCAAAGAAGACAGCGGATAGACAGTCACACCACTCAGCCACCCAAGTTCTCACTGATGCATACTAACTTGCTGTCTCTTTCAGATTAGGAAAAGTTGAGAAGTTTGTGTAGAAAAACCTACCAACGCTTGCAGTGGGTGTCATGCACAGAACTGACCCTGCACACCATGCATTGAAGCGTGGAAAGATGAACAAAAGGGATATTTCATTAGTGAAGCTTCAGTGTTAGAAATCACTTTAACTAAAAAGCAGGTATTCTCTTTGCAGCATTCAGTATTTAAGCACATGCAAACAGATTCTGCATATTGGTACATAAATAATTTAAACTCAGTTTTAAGAGATCATAGCAAACCAAATTAATTCTTGAATTCTTGGGTAGTAGAGAATATATTTCTTCTCCCACCCTTGTATTAAACTCTATGATCTATCCTAGAAATCAGGGTTGTTTGGGGTTGGTTGTTTTTTTTTTTTTTGGTATTGGGTATGTTGATTTCTTTCTGATCACGTCAGCAGAAAACCAATTACCCTTAGAGGAACGTCACACTCATGTTAAAACTGACTTTCCAAAAGCAATTTACTCCTGCAAGCAGGGACCAGGATTCAAAGTCTCTAGTTTAAGCTGAAAGAGGCAGTTTTTTTCTGGACTTGAAACAATTGTAGTGATGATGCCATTTTCAAGAAACCCTGACTTTCCCCTCCGTGATGCTGATCTCTCAATAACTGAACAGGAGAAACTAAGACAAGCAACAGCTCGCTCCCCCTCCCCACCGTGTCAGCTGCGACACGCCACTTCTCTGCTTCGCTTTCCAGAGCGCTGCAAAGGCTGAGACCAGATCTGCAGTCGGATGCATCAGGGACAACGGGGATGCATCATGTAAATTCATCAGAGATCCGTCCTCTGACCGGAAATTTGCTGCTCTGCCCGGCATTAATGTCCTCAAACGAGAGCAGGTGCCAGCAAATAGACCTGTTACGCATCAGCCCGGCGTGTAATTTCATTGCCATGAGACAGGGCACAACAGCACCGTGAGAGTGCTGGGTAAAAGCTAATTTGTAGAGCTCGCATCAGAAATGCGTGTCCTTATGTCAACTTTGGCAACTGCGACCTCAAGGGAAGGGGAGCGTGTAGCCAGCTGGGGGACTTGGCATTCTCAAAGCCTTCCTGAAGAAGTATTTCGCTTGGCACCTGGCAGAGCTGCGCTAAGGTCGGCTCAGCCCGTCCCCTCCCAAGCACTTTGCAGAGCACAAGGTGGGAAGCTCCTACTCGAGTCCCTCCCTCCACCTCTCCATACAAGACCCCACCTCCCTGGAAGAACATCTTGGCAGCTGCTGGGTGACTCCAAGTGCCCTCGTAACAGGAAGGCCACCCCAGCACAGGGTGTAGGTCCCAGCTCTCTGCACCCATACTCACACCCCAGCCAGTTTGCTCTCAGTGTGGGACTGTCTCCTAAAGCTCTTCCCCTGACCCCAAGGAACGGCAAGGCCGAGATCCATGTCCACCGTGTGTTTACTTTGAGGAGCCAGCCCAGAGGAACGCTTTGTGTATTTGTTGTAAATACCATCTGGCAAGTGAATTCAGCATTAAACATTAAAAACACTGGGCATTCCTTTTCTTATGATGCTCTGCAATGATAATAACAATACTAAACCCCAAGCTATCGGCTCTGGAATATTCCTAATTCAGCCACTTATAATACTTACTACTCTAAGCAGGTTTTGTTTTTCATTTGGCTGCAGTGAATAGAGGTTAACTGGGTAGTCAGCAGTCACATCTTCCATGTCAATATTTCGAGTCCTGAATGAATTACCGAACTGCATCTTTCAATTTACTCTGAGACCTTAAAGGTACAATAAACGCTAGGAGTTAAATTGCTTTTAAAAAGCTTAGGCTATCGCCCTGGTCAAAAGACAAGCAAGAGGGAAATAAATGCCTTTAAAGAGGATTATGTAATTTGTATTTACTGAAGATGAACCGTTCCCTCTATAAACATCGTGGCTGCTGGAATATGTAGGTCACTGAGATAGAAGCTCAGAAAGATACCTGCAGCTTCAAGTGAGAGGGCATAGAGGTCCACAAGACATTTTAACATGAGTCCGTAAGAGTGGTACACAAGAGTCAAAGAATTAATTTGGGACTAACCAGTTGAACCATAAGGAGGAGAAAATAGAAAGTATGAATTCAAGAAACATGCAGACTTTTTTCTTAGTTCGACCGCTTAAAAAAACCCAAGACCAAACAAAAAAGGCTAAGAAGGGATCTTTACAAGTGAAAAGCTCTGAACTGTAGCAGGTGAAGGGAAAAAAAGTCAAACAACAAATGTTAACTTTTTATCCATTTTTAACAGGAAACTACACAAGGATACTCTTTTGCTAAGGACTCTTACAAAATGTGCTCATTAGCTCAACGCCTAACTCATAAAAAAAGACAACTACGATGCTGGGGAAAGCAAGGGGACACTTACCTGTAGGGATGAATGTAGGCTGTTGCAACTGCATGTTGGCTAGAGCCTGTTGGTAGTGGAAAACGCTTGGGTTAAAGACTGTGGTGGCACCATTGTTTTTTTCAAGTGCTGGCCTCTTTGGTAAAGGTTGAAGTGCACCAGGCGGCAGGGCCTGTGGATAAGGGAGTCATTAAAGACAAATGGAGTAAAAAAAGGGGCCAGGTGTAGATCAAGCATGCAATAAATAGTAGGGGGTCTTGGCTGCAAATCACCTGCAACTGTATCAACTTAGGGAGACAGGAAAGAGAAGAGCCGCTAAATCACAGTAGAAGTAGGAGGTGAAACCACAACTCACTAGGTAAGCAGTTAGTAAATGCACCAGGAGAAGGGGCAGAGTCCAGAGGCGGGGGGGGGGGGGGATGCTAAGGGAGCTTTTCAGCAGGACTGTCTTGGGCACACAGGGAAAAAAAAAAACACGAGGAGAAGGAAGGGGAGACATGATCACCTGGACGGGATACTACGAAGAGCAGTTGCAGGCAACAAGCATTTTAAAAAAAAATACAACAAAACAACAAACAAACCGAAACAAAACAGGTAAGAGGAATACAGTAGATGACTATTTATAAACAAGATTAGCATAAGCAACAAACACCGTGGAAAAAAAGGGATGCTTGCCTCTGTTTCAACACCTGCCTACATGTATGTGCACATGTGTGTAAGCATGCACACGTGTGTGCAGCTGACCCATGTGTCCCAGCGGTAAAGCAGTGGCTGTTGCCAATTCCACGCGTAGTGTCACATTCATAGTAAACTGCATTTCCACTCGTTAGCAGAGAGGATGAGCAACATGGTCAAGAACAGGCCTGATTCTCCACCGCCCGGAGCAGCGGCACAGCTCTCCCCCAGCAGATTTGGACTTGCTCCCAGCTTCCAGAAGGTGGCCTCCAACAGTTAAACACTGCTCACTCGTTATGAACAGTGGAAAAAGCCATCGACGAACGCGGTGTTGGAACAAGATTTGGGTGGGCCTTGCTATCAGGCAAATCCCCTCTTTTTGTTCTATCACACCACCAAGCTTCTTCCAGCCTGTCAAACCCGTTTCATGATCAGACTTGGTAAAAAGCATTAACCCAACTCAGGAACTTTTCTCAGTGAGTTACTCATCATTCACCCAAGCATGTCTCAACAGCAAAGTAGTATGTCAGGTTCTTAGGAGACAGGAATGTTTCTAATGATTTACAGCTTTTCATTGTACCCAAGTAGAAACCACATTTTTTTCTCCACATTGTGATAGAAAAGGGTCCTTTTAATTATGCCCTGCAGTCCTGTTGCACGCAATGCTCCCACTGACGTCAATGAGATTTATGCACGTGGAAGTCATGCAGAATCAGGTCACTTCTGCCTAGCTGTTAGTCTGTACCACGTAGCAAAGCAATGGCTGAAAAACAGGGTCATCACTCCTAGGGTTTTTTTTTTTTTTTTTGAATAGGTAACAGTGAAGGGCAGGTAATGGAGGAAGTTTAGCTAATGAACAGGTAAGGCTACAAACACACAGACTTGGAAGAAAGGACACAAGTAAAGAGATTTTAAAGTGCTATGAAGATCAACACACAACAGAATATAAGTGAAAGCTTGCAACAGTTTGTCACCATCTAGAAACAGGTTTCACTTTAAATTTAATTTGCTATAGGAGACTGCTCATCTGAGAAATGTTAAGCAAGATACTTCCAGGCAAAACATTACTCCATCCTATCTCTATTGACATGGTGGCTTTTGGGTGGTTTTAATATTAAAAAAAAAAAAAAAAAAAAAGAAAATTAGAAGAAGAAATTGCATTTGCAAAACTGCCCCCAGACATGCACACATCCTCTGCTAACGCTAGCAGGCATCCAGTGCCAGCATTAGGACCTAATCTTTCCAGATTTCTTCTGGCTAGTACCAAAGGAGCAGTGAAACACAGGACAATGTTTTCAGACACAAACACCAAAATCTTTTGCTTAAGATCTGTATTTTACAACGAGGTCCTTTACATAAAGAACTAAGAGTTTCCATTTCTAGGTAAGCCCTCATTGATATCCACGTTAACTCTGACTGTATCTACAGCTTGACTATTTAATGATGGCTACATGAATGTTCCTCAAGGCATGGGACAGATCTGCAGCTTGTGGAGTAGCTCCATGTACATTGGAGGTGTTTTACAGATTTACAGTGACTGTAGAACTTGCTGCTTAATTCATGCTCTTTACTGTGCCTGATTTGCTAAACATTCTTTTTTTCAGATGCTTCCAAAATCCTCCTCAGAAAAAAAAAAATACTAATTATAGCAAAGCACCTGTGCCAGGCACATAATGGACTTTTGACTCCTTGCTTCTTGGTCAAAGACTGTCACCACCCCAAAACCTCCATTATCCCATAATGGCAGTGCCAAAAGCAGAACAGCTGAAGGCTTTGAGACCCCGCCGTGACGTCCTGGCTCTTTACAGGACAATTCCTGAGCCCAGCGCTGTGCTCAGAGGGAGCACACAAACACCAGCAGGGCACAGAGATGTCCACGCACAATGGACAACCCCAGTGCCTCCCTAACATCACCCTTCCTCCTCCCCTGCTGCAGCCCCTTGGGAAATGCCTGAACAGCAGGCGAGTGGAGAAGCCCAAATAAATGCAACATTTCCAGAGTCTTCTAAAGAAGCAAGCACACTGCAGCAGCTTCTGCGCAGCCTGAAGGCCGGCTCTGCCACGCGGGCTCTGCGGCCGCAGGAGCTCGGAGCCCTTCTCGGTCTGCTTCTGGTTCGGCACAGCTTTCTGGGTCTCCTCTCCCACCCCAGCAGCTGGGGGAGCATTCCTGCAGGAGCACGCCCTGAAGATGTGCTCCTCCTGTTGCCAACCTATCTTATTTTAGATACTAAGGTGCAGGAGGGCCCAGAAGGACAGAAGGATCTGGCTTCACCACTTTTTCATCCTTTGTGCTGAGGTAAGAGCCCCAAGCTACGACTACAGCCTGGGAGAGGTCTCTAAAATTGCACGTGATGAAATTAGGCCAATATAGCTGCTGCACAGGGATCTGGCAGGGACACAGGAGCAAACAACTGTGTCTCATTTGAAATGGGCCAGAATTTTTGTTGTCAGGACCTGCAGGAAATACAATAACTCACAGGGGATACAACATTTCTGTCTTGCACCATGTGCTGGTTCTGAAGGAATCCCCCAAGCGTGTCCTGCTGCACCTACAAAAGGTGATGGGAGACTCCTCACCATATTTTGACCTTACTGAATTCTGTAGCAAGTGCCTCCCCGCTGCTTGTGATTTCCCTCTGGCCAAGCTCTGACCATTACACATGTAGCAGGAGCCTTTGACAGTAACTTTTTCCAACTTTCTTTTTTGCCGGTGTGTTTGCGTGCACACATGGGTACGCAACATATGCAACATGATCAGACCATTTGCACAGGTGAAAGGGTTAATTCAGTTCACTGTCCATGTGATAGCCCGCACTGATCCCAGTGAACAATTCCCACTACAGAAATGCCAGGCAGCCTCCCATTTTTGGGCTGGGAAAGCCACATTCCTGCTTGAACATAAGCATCTGAACAAAGAGGTTTGTGCCACTTCCCTGCATGGCATGGAAAGCAATCTTTCAGCATGACTGACAGATAAATACGCACTGGATGCCAAAGTCAAAATTTCCCACGTGCTGGTTAACAACCCTCTCTTGTTATTTTTTGCGAGACAAGAACTGGATTAAATCTTTGCAACAAACAATTTAATTGCACCTCAAAGTTCCCCTCAGATCGCTATCTCCTGGGAGCAGATCACACTTTCACCCCTTTGCACTTAGCAGAGAGGGGCTGATTCTGCATCTGGCTTGCTGCTTCAGTCCAAGGCATGACAAATACAAAACGATCTGAGAGAGGGCACAGGTAGCACCCGTTCCCTGCCAAGCAGCAGAAGCAATCTGAGTAGTTTCCTCTGAAGATTATACATGCTCTTATCACCACTGTAAATCCTTCTCTGGTGCAGCCTTTCCCAAGGGTTCAGAGGAGGTGGCACATTCCAACAACACAGTTGCAAACCTTCAGATGTTTCGGAGCAGGAAGACTATTAAAAGTAACTTATCTGATGGGGTTTTGTTCAGTGGGGGAGGCCAGGAGGGTAGGGGAGTTGAAGGCCTTTCCCATTCTCTGCCCTATCTCGCCTCCTTGGAAAGGGCAGCGAGGCTCCATCCCGTCACTGCCTGCGCTGGCTTCGGGGCCACATCCGTGCCAGCCGTGAGCAGCGGGGAGAGAGAGGCTGTTGTGCCATTTACAGTGTAATCCCATGACTGCTGGTGGAAGCTGGTCCCTAGCAAGGTTTCCTACTGCTGCTGCCTGAAACAAGCCTCCTGGCTACTTAAAGAAAACCCCATAACCCAATCTTCAGAGGGAAAGGGGAGTGGATCAGCCTCTGCTTTTTAGCTCTGGGAATGAAGAGCAACACCAGCTTGAAGGTTTCAGGTCTCCTCTGTGCCCACCCTTCCCTTTCAGCCCCTTGTAGCTGGGTGACAGGAGCTGGTATTTTTTTAGCATGTATTGGATCCCTCGTTATTTGGGGTGAATGGGAAGGAGTTGTATTCTACGGAGCCAGAACTGCCAGCAGACTGGCAAGATGGCTTTTGTCTCACTATGAGTGCCAGGAAAACAGGTAAAACATATTTGAGACTCAGAAAATTAACCAAAAGGTAGCTTACACGAAGAGAGCTTGAAGGGAGCAGATACCGTGCCTGAGGCTGAAGGAAGAGGCACCCAGGGCGAGGTCCCTTTGCTGACACTGTCCCACCGGGGCCCGGCGGGAGGAACCAGAGGCAGAGCCAGCTGTAACAGCAGCCACCTCCCCAGCTTACTGATCACACCACCAAGGTCCCGCACCCCCCCCTGCTTCAGTTCCCAGCACACACCTCCCAGGGTGCTGCTTAGCTCTCTCCCTCCTAAATTTGGGTCGTGCCCGTTGCACAGAACACCCTTCTGCAGGGCAGTACCAGCGTGACACTGCCAGGCAGGGCGGTGCTGTTGGGCGTACGACGAAAAGTTGCTGGATCTGTCCCGTCTCACCCAGTCCTCCAGCATACCCAGCGCACTGCTGACCTAATGGGTTAAATTCTCACCAAAACATCACGACTCCAAAGCTGCCGCTGTTTGGAAAAACACTTCAAAACCCAGAGCTGACTCCCTCCAAGATTATTCACTGCTTCCAAAGCACATCCAGGCTTCAGGAGGCAGAGCTCGGATGGTTAATGGATGGTGTGCGGGGCGCAGGATTGGCATGTCTGAACGCACACTGCAACATTTCTGGCCGGGATGGGCAGTCTCCCCAGGCACTAAACTAACACCACAGACCAAGTGCAGAAGGCTTTCATGCAGACTAAGATGGTTACGTGCAAAGCGAGAAGGTGAAAGGTCCAAGTACCAGGTCAAAGGTTGCCTCGAGCGGTCGCTTCAGTGATCTGACAGCTGGCTGAGTCTTAATTAGCAGGCAGCGAGCACATGATGGCAATGGGCCAGGGAAGGGGGGTCAAGCACAGTAACAAAAACAGCAAGCAGAGGTGTGTCAAGAGAGAGCAACATTTTGGAGAGGCGAAGAGAAAAAAAATAAAAATAAAAAAAGGTGAAAGCATTATACAATATATTAAAAAGACGAGGCATGCGCAATGGGGGTGGCTGAGTAATTACCTGGCCTGGTGGCTAGTCAGCTGTTTCGCCTCAGTGAGTTTTAAAAGCAATGTCATCGCGGGCCACGTGCTTTGGAGCATCCTCCCCGCGGGGTGAGGAGCGCGCAGGCAGCGGCGCCGGGCTTGCGCGGGGCGTCAGCGTCAGCCCGGGCTCTGCAGCTGCCCGCCGCGCAGGGTCGGCGCCCGCGGCAAGGGGAGGACCCCCGGCCCGGGGGGGCAGGTCGAGCGCACGCCCAGGTGCCGTCCTGACCTGGGGACCGAGCCCGACCCCCTGCATCTGACTGTGCTGCACCGACTTCGGCCAAGCGGCAGCGAGTGAAGCTACTGCTTGTGCACGTCGAGTAACTGCAGGATCGGGTCCCTCAGAAATACCTTCTGAATTTAGATTTGCAGTCCTTCCAAATCTATTCTGGAAGGTACGCCCATTTGTCCGGCGTATGTTTTTTGACCCAAGAAAACTAGGCACCCTTCTTCCCTTTAATAAAAGTCTTATTCCTCAACAGGTACAGTAAACGCATCAAACCTTGAAAAGTCAATGAATAATGTAAGCTGTTTTGGTAGCTGGGGTGATGCAACAAGCCATCAATAAATATTTTAAAGGTTCTAGTTAACAGCATACAAATAAGGTTAATTACATTTTTGAGAGAAGCTAGAAGCATGAATAAAACATGCATTGGCTTTGGTTAAGTAGCAGTGTCCTAGATAATTAGTGAAAAAGTAAAGATTCCATCGTAAAAAACACAAGAGTTTCATTTCAGAAGGTTCTTTTTCAACAGACCTGGGCTGTTGTTTCAACGATAATAAAAATAGTAAGAAATCTAGTAGACACTGCAGGACAAATACTGCAGTATAAATTTGTTCTTCAAATTAAATTCCAGGTGCTGATACTACAAGGAGGCCAGTTGTTTAATTTCTAGAATTGTCCTCGTTTTGCGATATGTTTCATCATGAATGGAAAAGCAACCTCTTTTACTGTTTTTTTTTTAAATGTATTTAGAAAAATTTTAATAGCCTTACTTCTGAATAAAGAAGGCAAGAACGTTTTTAATATTATTAAAAAAAAATAAAAATAAAAATCACAGAACAGGTGAGGTTGGAAGGGACCTCTGGAGATCATCTAGACCAACACCCTGCTCAAAGTAGGGTTAACTAGAGCAGCCAGCTCAGGACTGCCTCCAGGAAGGCTCTGAGTATCTCTGAGGATGGAGCGACCTGTTGCAGTGTTTGATCACCTTCACAGTAAAGAAGTTTTCTCTTATGTTTTTTCTTATGTTTAAATGGAATTTCCCAAATTTCAGTTTGTGCCTCTTGTCATTTCACTAGGCACCATAGAGAAGAGCCTGCCTCTGTCTTCTTTACTTCTCCCATCAGGAGTTTATACACATAGCTGAGATCCCCCTGGGCCTCTTCTAACCTCCCCAGGCTCTCTCATCTCTGGAATAAATAGGTGCCATTACACTGAATTCAGCAGAATGGCAAACATTTATTCCAGCTAGGAATTTTATCTGGAAAGTCTTCCTTGACTCGTTTTCAGAAGTGTAGGTATTAGATAGAAGTCACAGTTCAAATTAAAATGCCGGTGGGACCATCTCTACCAGGTCCAAAGTATCAAAGTGGCCAGGAAGTCACCCTTGGTTTGAGACCTGTCATTTCACAAAGCCTTGGTGAAGGCACCAGGCACATGTCTGCTAAGCTCAGACAGCTGCTATCTTGTCTGCTTTTAAGTCGGTGGAAATTTTGCTACTGACTTCAACAGGCCAGGATCTCCCTGCAGAGGATGTGTTATGGGATGGGCAGTCTTTCCTTTTGTTGTGTACTGAGGAAGCTAAACTGACACCTGTGACATAGCCGGGGAAGGTGTTGGTTCCAAGTGCTGCTGTACTTGCTTATGTCACGTCATGATGCCGTGTCAGAAAATCACAGGGTTCGTCATCGTGTCCCTAACCGGCGAGATGTACCGCGCCACTCAGGGCTTCATGCTGTGGTGAGCACACAGAAAGGATGAAGAAATGGGATTCTTATCGCACATGCTCTCAGCTCTCTAGTCAGCCATTTACAAAGCACTACTTTTCCACAAACACCACATATGACACAAATGACATCTCTTAGCAGTGGAAATACAGCTTGAGAAGAGCTCTACTTACCATTGCAGCTGCAGCTGTCTGGTTCACCTGGTGTTGAGCTGCCTTGATTTTGGCTTGCAGGTGTGCAGGGGGATGAAAGTACTTGCATTTCTCCCTAGAGCATCGACCTTTGATGTAATCCATGCAAACTGTAACAGTATTTTCATTTGTGTCTATCATTGCAATATCTATAGGGTGAGCATAGCGGCAATCATTCTCACCACGTGTGCAATTTCCACGCTGAAACTCTCGACAAACCTTAAAAGAAAGTCACATTATTGAGCAGAACATCAAGTTACTCTTCATTCAGTATTTTCAACACAGAGTATCAGTTCAGTTGGCCACATTAAACCACGTGTGTATACTAAATCCATGCTCATCTTGGGTAGCACATATACCAACAGTCACAGGGGCAACTGGTGCTACTCACAACTGGTTCAGGGTAAGAAAAAACCCACAATGTTATCAAGGCCAACTACCAGATGCAAGTGAAGTACAGAATTTGTTCAGAATGGAAAATGACCCCAGGAAATCAATCTCATTTTGCCAAAACTTTTGGAGCCCAGGATTGCTCCCCTGTCTCTTAAGCTTAAATGTTAATAACTCTGCCATTTGTGTCTCACCTGCATTATGTATTTGTTACGGAGCACACTCTTGGGTAGGACATTTAATTCTAAATGTTGCACGCTGCTGTTATTTGCAATGAGTACCTTTCCTTTAATGTAAGGAGCCTCTTTCACATAATCAGTCTCAGTCTGGCATTACGTGACAGTGCATTTGATTACACTGCAACATGTTCATAAGGTGTTGACAAAATCGCTAGCTTTATGAAGATCTTGCAGATCCTTGTAAGTTAGGAGCACTGAAGCATCAAAGGCAGAGAAAAAGGTTTCACAAAAGGGATCTGCAAGATTTCCTTGTCTGAGAAACTGAGAGAAATTGCTGAGGACTAGAGCTGGTGGTGTAGATCACGTACCAGTGCACCATCAGTCTGACTGTGGGGAAAGGTGAGACGTCAGCAAGGCAATATAAAGCGCATAACTCAAAACAATGTGTTTTGAAATTACACCCTTTTTCACTGCCTTCCTGTGCTATAATTTACACCTGCAGGGGCCTCTGAATTCAGGTCCTCAGCCCTTATCTCCTGCAGAGCCTCTGCTTAGGGTTTGAAAGACATTTGCAACTCCTCCAACACTAAGTCCCAGCGTGCCCAGCCGGCTGGGGGGGGGGGGGAAGATGTCTTTCCAGTGTCCCATACTCACCACTCCCAACACTGTAATGCTTAAAGCTTTCTGTAAAAGGTCAATAAGCCCATCTCTAGACAAGAAAAGTGTGTGTTACTTCCAAAATGTCTCCCACTCAACTCAGTGAAAGGGCAGACCATCTACTTGCATTTTTGCAAGTGCGGCAGATCACACACGGCAAACAACAATCCCAGCCCTGCTCTAGCGCCTACTGAAATCAGAAGAGTGAGTGCTCCCAAATTTCCAGTGACTTCCAAGGATTTGGGACCACGCCCCACATGAGAGTCTGCTCAAGCAGAGAGCAGCAGCCCTGTGTTAGGAAAGCTGCAAGTTAAACTCTGCACTGTGCTGCACCGGGTCATTCTAGCAGAGAGCAACGGCTGGGACTGTTCATTCCCACCAGCAGTATCGTATCAGGCGTCCAAATACCTCCAGTTTATCCGTACGCATCAGTTTCTGCCCAGCAGAGCCTCCTGGTACTGTAACAGTAGGATTTCCGGAAACCAGGACAGGAGTATTTGGTAAAAGCTCTGCAGGAACCAAGCCCATCCCAGGAGAAACATGACTCAGGTAGGGACTAAAAGCCATCGTGGGGCTTGTTGCAAGCGATGGAGTCACAGGAAACGTTGTCTGTGTATAAAAAGAGGAAAACCAAAATATTAGTTAAAAAAGCTCTGTCTTGGATACCCATCAAAGCCTTGCATCACTTCAATCTTTTTAGACAATTTGATTAGCAACATCAAAACGCTGTGCTTTCCAATCTACTCATTTATTGCCGTTTACTTGCGATCTATTCGCTTCTCCTCACTCACAGATTTGTGACTCATCGTGAACACAAGGCATCTTTATTTGTCAGATCAAAGCATATTGATGATCTTTATAGTTTAATGACACAATTAAGGATTTCATGCCAGCAATTAGGGCAGGCCCAAATTAAACAGACTTCTCATTCCCAAATAAATGTCTCAGCTTCTAAATGTCTACACTGCAATACTGTACAGAGACCCCAAGGTAAACTGCAGCACCAGAAGCAGGTAACCTCCATGAGCTACATGGTTGAATTCACTATCAGCCTGCACTGAGCTCCACGTTATCATGGCTAGTGTGGCTCAGGTAGACAAAAGGGATCACTTATGAGTCAAGTGAGGCATCTCTGCTACAGTATGCTTGGAGGTCTAGCATTCTGCACATCAGTGGTTTGTTTCAGACTGCCAACAGCTGCTGAGCAAAAGCCATTTTGCAGGAGTATCCTGATGCTCCACGTGAATGGCAGCAAGAGGACACCAAACTCACTTGTATCACAGCGTGACAGACCTCGTGGCTGTGGCAAGAGCAGGTGGGTCATGGGCTTGGAAGAGCCATGGACAAAGTGTACCAGATGAGATGGCTCAGGTGGGCCAGCACAAGGTCCAGGACCCCACCTGTGCTGCAAGGAGCAGTGTTCCCATGAGGAGACAGAATAACGGGCCGTAAAGATCTTGACTGCTTCAGGTCCCTCAACTGCATCAGGCAGGCAGGTTCTCCAAGCGCAGCAGAGCCCCAGCGCCGGTGGCCAGAGCCACTTCCCTGGCATGAACTGCTCCAGCAGTGCTGGTCTGGGAAAGGAGCTGCCCTTCTGCCAGGGAGGCGAGATCACACCAAGCTCCCGAGCAGCTGCTCGGTTTAAAGTCTGTGAATAGCCCCTACAGCCAGGCAGCTTGTCTGATTTTTAAGGCACCGGATCCGAGGTGCATTTGGGAACGCAACCAATTCCAGCTGATGGAAAAATCCCCCCTGCTCACCCCAAAGACCAGAGCCTGCAAGGCAGCACTCCTGCTCCTGCAGCAGGGGCTCGCGCAACCCCCAGGGGAAGCAGCCTGCGGCTTGTAACCGTTTTTATTTTCCCCTCTGTCACCTGCTCCACTGTGAACTCTGGGTTATAGTTAAAGCTGTTCATGTTTACAGGCATATGTGATGCTGTCCTCGGTGGCTAAAACCTCTACTTGGCAATAAATACAAGCGTGCTTACAGAATGGCCTGGGGCATTTTTCTGGCCACACACATCATCCCCTCCTTGCGTTTATTTTGGCACTTCTAGTCCTGTGGGCTTTTAAAAGGAGCTATATGTAGACAGTGTCTTTCTCGAGAGCATCTTCATCCCAGTACCTTCATACAGCAGGAAACACTTTGCCTGTTGCGATCTGGAGGAAGCTGGCCCACAGTAACACCAGCCAAGCTGCCCTAACCTATCTTTAGCTTAATGATGCCCCCTTCCTAAGGCCAGAGGGACAGCGGGCAGCTCCTGTGCTGATGGGAAAGGGGATGACAGGTCACTGCCAGCATACGTCCAGCTTTCTCTTCCTCAGCAAGGAGACACAGCCTTCTGAGTCAGCAGTGCTGGGTGCTTTAAGTGCAGCAGAACCAAATAATCCTCTCTCTGGGAGGGATTTCCAATCTTCCTTCGTTTGAGCCTGAGTCGAATCCCGCTTCAGCTGATGGGAGACTTTAACCATTAAGCCCAGAGATCCCCCAGTCCATGGCCCTTTATTAAATCATTTTCTTCTCCCTTTCAATTCTCTGTGGCTCCCAGACATTTTACACCTTTTGCTGCTAGAAAAGCTCTTTCAGGATCTTCAAATGCTGTAACTCCCTGAACGCTTTAGTGAGAAGGCAGCATCCATTAGACTGTTTTCTTTTGTGTGAGTACCAGTAATTACAGTGGCATCTGCTGAACTTCTGTCACCATTTGCGCTATAAATGCTACTTGAAGGAGCTTCTCCAGCCTGGCCAGGCTGCACAGGGTTACGTTGGGGCCTGACATGTTGTCAGCACTTGTTTTACATACCCATAGTAGCCCAAACCTTGCAGCACACGTGGCTTGCATGAATGTGTGGGCAAATCTACTTCACGTTTTTCCAGCACCTAACAGAGCAGTCTTGGGAATCCTGAGGCAGCAGGTGTGGCACAGACATTGCTCCAAAATATCAGCAGATCCTTTAAGGCAGGCTTCCCCTGCCTGGGCTTGAACAGAACGAGGAGCCAGCCCAAGGACTTAAAGGGTTTCTGAGATGGAGGGGAAATGCTCCTCCCATTGCTCAGGCAGAGGATGCCAGGACATTTGTGCAGCCAGGGAGGAAGGCTGGGGGCTCACAGTGCCTCACACTGAGTAAATCCACCAGAAACTGGTGGGAATGGATGTGAAACGTTAATGAAGAGATGACATGAGAGCTTCTCCACCAAAGCCACTACAAACTGGGGGGCGGGTTCTGCTCCCTGAAACACAGTCCCCATCTCTAAGGCCATTCCTCAAAAGCAGCCCCTCTCCTCACTGGGAGCAATTAGCAAGGGCTAATGGATCCAAATCCAAGCTGAAGCAAGCGGAGGAAAGATGTCCATGAGGAACAATTGAGGAGTGTGATCTACTCATGATCCCGGACACCTGCAAGAGGGTGGCGTGAAGGAGCAGGATGGGTTTTTATCACTGCTGCTGGTTGTTCACCCATTTCCATGCCCTGGCATCTGGTTTCTGCGTTCCCAAGGTTTCACAACCACTTCTGCCCGCCCGAACCGTGCACCCGGTGCCGCTGACTGAAAGCGAGAGCTCTGCTCCCCACCCTGCCCGCGGGCAGGGACTGACACCCGGCACCCAGGCAGGCGTTCCCAGCGGATGCACAGCCAGAGAACAAGCAGATCTCACTCAACACAGTAAGTCTGGAAGTGCTGGGGGTTTAAGTCTGAACTGTGCTAAACGCACTGAAAACTGCTCCTTTGTAAGCTGGCATCAGGGAGCTCTGTATTTATTGTGGCTGATGAGGGGAAAAGATGGGCTGCACTCATTGCCAGCCCTGACTGCCTGTCTTGGATTGGGAAATCCAGTCTGGCTCATGCATCAGTACCAGTAATAAAAATGCTGCCAGCCAAGTCTCTCCTCCCTTTACGTCTGTGCAGGTCCCCCGTGCCAGGCCTGTCCTGAGGGAATTCAGGCAAGTTTCCTCCTTGCAGCCAGAACCCAACTGTAATTTTTACTCCAAACAGCACTGCTCCCCTCAACATGCCTTCCATCTACCTCTTGTGATTGCACTCAGCCAGGAGACCTGACAGATCAATATTATGACTATACACTAAAAAAAAAAAAAAAAAAAAAGTCTCAGTTTAGTTGGTGGTGTGTTCTAGGGCAAAACAGAGAGATTGAAAGTATCACCACCTACCCCTGCTGTCCCCCTTAAAGCTCTTGCAAATGCAGGAAAAACAGGGGCAGGTTTCCTTGCAAACTGTTATTAACAGTAACATATGCAGACACTGTCAAATAACTCCTGAGCAGAGGAAAACAGGCTACAGTGCAGCGGCAAAGGGGTTCAGACTGGTAGCAGCTCACAAGACTGGTTTACCGAGTATTAAAATGTTTGTAAGAATCAGAATAATCATAAAAAAAAATGCAGCTGAAATGGTTGTTGTGAGAACACATCTCGGGGGGAAGGCTACCGGGGACTTCAACAGCTCTGAGCTCCTCACAGACCCCGAGCATAGGAGCTGTTGGGTTGAAGGTGTGAGCAGAGAGAAGGAACAGTCCCAGGGAGGGGCATTTGTCACCACTGGTGGTGACAGAACCTGGAACAGCTGATTTTGTTAACAAACTAGAAGTTGCATTCAATTTGCCTAGCAGAAATTGTGCTAAAGCTAGAGAAGAAACACAGAGTGGGTGTGAAGAGGAAGGCAGAGGAGCGGCTGGTGTTTTGTCGAACACAAATGCTGTCTCAGCTGGGAAGTGTTGATTCTGAGTTACCTCAGACCCTAAAAAGGGAAAGCTTGAAAATGAGACCACCAGTATAAATACAGAGGTGTTGATGGCCTAAAGGAGAGGAGACAGGTCACTGATAAGCAGCAACACACGGAAAGCACACAAAAAACAGTGGAAGCTTTTATTAGTCTGGTGACAGGAACATAAAAGATAAAGATGTTGTTCTGACAAGGCTGAAGACCCTGATATTGAAAACATAATTGATGCACAGAAAAAAAGCAAAAACCTGTGTTCCCCTCCAATGCAACTGCATGGGCCTGGCTGTAAAACCATCCCTCTAACGTGATGGCTGAGCAAGCTGGAGTGAATCCAACCAGCCAAAGCATCCAGCTACCTACTACCACAGATGCTCGTTTCCCCAATCAGACCACAAAGACCCACTCCTCACTCAAAGGAGATCTCATTTATGGGCTGCTGGAGTGTAGGAGTCAGGTGTTAACGCCCCACAGCACTCTTGGCAGTCACCAGCTCCCGGGTGGGCCAGGGTACGCATGCGTATTCATTCCCACTCTGCCTTTGCCTAGAAGCTGAGATACAGATCAAGGTTTTGCTGCATGGAACAAATGCATGCCCAAAACACCTGCTGAAATCTGCTCCAGCACTTGTTCCAAGCATCACTGGCCAAGCAAGTTATGCTTTAACCCTTTCATCAGCACCAAGGGGGGGGCAGCAGGGTCCCAGTGCCCCAGGAGAGGACGTGGGGCTGGGTTGAAGCTTGGGTTGTCTTCAGGGTCATGGGTGACTCAGAGCTGTCAAGACAGTCTCGGCTAAAGAGACCTTGACAGGAATAAAAGATGAAGAGCTTGAAAACAAAGAGAGCTCAGAGGGGGGAAACAACTTTGCAGGGCAGCAGCAGAGGCAGCTGCAGGCACAAAACCAGCCCAGAGAGCTTCCAGAACAGCTCAACCTAAGCCAGCAGTCACGGTCAATCTGGACTTTCAAAAGTCAAACCTTCAGTAAAGCCTTCTTACTTGGCACCTACATGGTCTCTCCGAGGTGTCTCCCAGAGAAATACACCATGTTGTGGAAACAGTCAGCTCCATGTCCTTGCCTGACTTGTTTTAAAGCGCTGTATGAAGCAGTTTGTTTAAAACTGAATCATGGGCACCAAACATTCATGTGATTCTCAGCTTTGCACAAATGGTTAGCAGCAACATCAGAGAACCACCAGAGACTTCAGAGAAATAAGCTCACACTAGCAACCGTTAATTCACACCTAGTAGGCTTCCATGAGCAGCAGGCATCCCACCTGGGACACGGCTCTTCTCCAAGCAGCACCTCCATTAAACAGCCAGCATCAGGGTCCTGGCTCTTGGTTCATCAGGAAGATTAGCTCTTGCTGCATGTCAGCAGTGGTACAAGAAAATGTGGCAGTGAATGTTTAGATGCAAGCTCACAGACAGACACACCCAATGCCATTTCAGGAAGCATGGTGAAAAGCTGCTATGTCAGTGCTGTTTTTTTGTTTGCTTGTGGGTTTGGTTTTTTTTTTTTTTTTTTTTTAATATGGTAGCTTTTCTGGTGAAAATGCACTTTAAAATGTCTAAGCATTCAGCTATTGTTTGGACCTATTAAGCACTCTGTTCCCAATCTCCTCTCTGGCAAGCATCCCAATTAAGCAGGCATCCCGTTGATCAGCTTTCTGATCACATGGGATTTGTTCCGCCGCTGCATCTGATATAATACTTTCTGCTTTGAAGAATTTCATGTGTATCCAGAAGGAGGCCCCACCCTTCTCATTTAAAGACAGAAAGAATTCTCAAAGCCTGCTTCCACTGGCAGCATCTTCAGGAAATCAAAGGCAGGTGAAAGAGCAATCTCTTGTTTGTCCTGAAATTGGTGTGGAGCAAGCTGGGCAGCAGGAATTAGACCAAGAGCTCGTTTGCTCTGAGCAAAGTGTGGGAAAGCAGGAACGGAGCAGTCATTGCAGAACAATATTTTATTTTTCTTCTTTGCCCATGTCTCTCTCGTGGCACAATTTAGAAACCAGGGACCTTTCTCATCAGATAAGGTTAGCTCTGAAATGAGAGCACTAACCAGACAAACCATCAGATTCGGTCTCAGAGGCAATTTAAAAGGCAGAAGTGGAATTGCAGGAGGAGCGAACTGGACCTGCTAGACTGCAAAATGGGAAGATGGGAACTTTCCAAAGAGGAAATCCCAAAGATGTTTTGAACAGCCAGTCACTGTGAATTCCCCACAGAGGAAAGCCCCAAACAGGAAAGGTTTGCTTTTGGTACAGGGCTAGGAAACCAGTGCTACCATTTTGTGGGAATTCAGGATTTCCTTCTCATGCTCACATATTTCCATGAAAAGTGAACTCCACAAAAAGGGGTGCAAAGATTACAGCAGATTAGAGTTTAAGGTGCAAAGCAACTAAATAATTCTGTGGCTCATTTTCTCATCTGCTTCACTTTTCCATCTTCGAAATGGGAAGAATAAACAGCATTTCCCTAGCTTACATGGCAGGGTGGAGATAAAGCTGCTAACACACACGCAGGATGGTCGGAATGAGGGTGTGCATGGAAGAGCCTTTACAAGACAGGAGGAACACACCAGACTGGGGAAATGCCACCGTGCGGTGGCAGAGAGCACCATCATGGAGGGACACTGGCCAGTTTTCCCTCCTCAAACACAGAATCATTGCAAGCTCTTACACCAAACAGCACAACAGCATCCAGCACCAGTCTCTTGTGAGGATAAAGCAGAGACTCTCCAGCTTGTCAAAGCTGAGATGACAGCTGCTGAGTCTGAAGCCTCATTCGGGCAGGGAAGCTGTAGGTGGGACAGCAAGAGGCCAAGTGCAGGTGGGTTCAGAGACTTGCACATCTTCAGGCTGGAAGAGCCTGTCCGAGGGGTCCAGCCAGACCTCCCGTGTGGCGCAGCACAGGGAACCTCACCCAACAACTGCACATCAAGTGCACATCACCCCAGGAAAGACATTCCTAAAAGAGAATTCCTAATTAGGCTCTTTGTTAAAAACTCGAAGCTTGTTTATGTCAGCACCAAAGAGGTGCTTCAAGACCTCTGACATTTCTTAAAATATGCATGGCGACAGACTCAAACTCAGCTGATAAGTATCACCCCATCCCAGATACACCAGCCAGCAGACACAAAAGCCATCCTCTCCCTGGAACAACAGGGTTCTCCAGCCTGAAAACCTGTTTTAACCAATAGGCTACAGCAAGGACAGGCTGTAAAGGTTTCTCTGAACTACCTGCTCTGCAAACACCCATCTCCCACAGGCTTCCCTCCCTACTTGAAGAAAAGCAAATCATTCCTGATGTTAGTATAAAACAGCATTAATCTGAAAAACAAGTGACAGGGCTGTGACATTAGCACAACTCTCTGCTGGGACAACTGCAGTGAAATGGGTCTCAGCCCCAGGCATAAAAATATATTAAGGTCACCTTCCCCAGTTTTAGCCCACCAGTACAATGCATCTAGTCCAGGGGAGTCAACTAGCCTCTTGCTACAGCATGGAAGAACTCCAGCATCCTCACCCCAGTGTAAAACAGCTATCCAAAATAAGATCCATTGGAATTGAGCCACTCGGGACTTCTGGGATGTGCGTGAATTAACTGGTCAAATAACCACCTGGTGGTAAAACCCTTCTCACTCGGTGCCCTGAATCTCACAGCTCCTCGGTTGTCAGAGGAAAGGGGAGCCACAGCTTGCAAGGAGATGCAGAGGTAGCATCAGACATCCCTCTGGAAGATGCAGCACGAACAGCCACCTGAGCAAAAGCACGGGGCTGGGGCCTCTGTGAGCAAACACGAAAGAAGGACGGAGCAGCGCGCCGCCGATTCACTTGCTGTAACTTACAATTGGCTGTAGCTGCGCGCCCGGTAGCATGAACTGCATTTGCTGAGCAAACATGGCTGCGGCGGTCTTCTGCTGGATCAGGTTGTTGCGTCCATTTATTTCAAGTTGTGTTTTTAAGTGCGGGGGAGGGTGGAGATATTTGCAGTTCTCTCGGGTACACCGGCCCTAAAAAACATAATGAAACAGCACTTCAGTGAATGTAACACTCAGGGCAGCCAGAAAAAATTTAATTAAGGATTGTTTGGGTTACTGTAACACCACAATCAGTTAGGCAGAGGCAGTTTGGTAACTGCTGTGCCTCTTTTGTGATTTTTCTATAGAAGTGCAATACTTCGGTGAAGAGAAGAGCAACATGACTTCTCCTGCTGTAACACTAACTGGATACTGTCAAGCTAAACCCAAAAGTTAGGCTTTCTGATGTTAAAATGATTGCTGCAAAAAAAGAAAAAAGTCTAACACAAATACCGGTATTTTCAAAAGTTAGTGGCAACAGCTCCAGAAGCAACAAGAAAAATTCCCCGCTTTCTTCTGTGGGTTGTTTTTCAACTCCCTCCCAGCACCAGAACACTTAATTGGCCCTGACAACCAGACAGCGAGAAACAAAACTGTCTCCACCACTTCCCCAGCTGCACTGGGCAAAACATTAAGATGACAGCTATGTAAAGCAGCACCTCTGATCTTCAACATGCATGTAGTGAGATGCTGAGAACTGGTAGGCACAACTGGAGGAAGAATTGAAACAATTTCCTCTTCACACTCTCATCTGTCAAAAGCCACAGTATGCTGCATCACTGACCACTTCCTCCCTCACCCTCCCAGTTAAACAGAAGCACTAGGGAAGCCAGCGGCTCCTAAAATGCAAAGGATCACTAATGTTACAGATCACCTCAAATCAACCAAGACTGTAATTTAAAAAAAAAAAAAAAAAGATGTATAAACCGTGCCTTGCTTTAATAGTGTTTGCAAGTATTTATGAAGATAAATACCAAGTCCACTGAACATAGAAAACTAATAAAGAATTTTGTCATCAAGATGAAATAATTCTTGGAAATATTTTTCCCTCCCCCCCCCTTCTCTGTGTACTCGCTCCTCAAGAAAGAGAGGCATACAGAATACAAGAAACATTTTATGCAACTTTATGCATAAGTTTTATAAATAACTTATGGTGAATTTTTTTGAGGAAGTAATTCTACTGTAGCTATTCGGAGCCTAATAAAACAAGTCCAGGCCTGGGGACCACAGAGCTGTTACATGACAGATAACTAATAATTGTTCCGGCAGCAGCAAAGGAGCAGGATCATCCATTACCCAGCCCGTCCCTGGCACTCTTATCAAGGGCTGGACACCGAGCTCTCAGTCTCAGTGTAATTAAGTTTGCTTTCAAAAAAGGGGGACGTCGGGTGACCCCACATACCTGTTCCTGTCGGCAGGATCACACACGGCAGAGCTGTAACCCCACAACCAGGTCCACACGGCTACACCCATTACACACCACTGCACCCAAGGTACACACTGGTGGAAACCCACTGGGATGGGCCCCTGCCTGCATCCAGGATGCTCCCCTGGGGATTTTTAAGATCTGTCTCTGCCTGTACAAATGTATGGGTGGAATCACTGGACAGCCTGGGTACCACTTCACAAAGTCGACACAGTGACCCAGCTGCAGGGGCTGCTTTTGAGCCCCCAGCCAGGCTCCTCGGCGTGCCAAGAGAGAGGCAGGTCACTGAAGAGCAGCCAAAGATCTGCAAGCTTTATGCATGCTTTCCTCTGTGCCCTTCCCTGCTGGGGATAATGGTTTCACTGGGGAAAGGGCTGCAGAGCCCGTCTGTGGCGTGAAAGGGGCTGTACGACAGAGTGTCATGAGAAGCAGGCTTCCCTCTTATCTGCTCCAAGGAGATCAGTGTTAAACAAAACTCCTGGCTCCCTGCTGTTATTTAGAGACAAATAACTCAATGCAAGAAGAGATGGGATAAACCCGATGGGGAGGCAAAAACACTTTCAAACTTCAGCAGCCTGCTTTTGCAGAGTGAAACTCGCTGCCTCGCTCCTAGATGAGCCCTGTAGCTCCCAACGACCAACTCAAAAAGAAAGAGGCTTGTTAATGCTTTGGCTTCTCAGAAACTCAACAGCCCCAGATCCCCAGCAGCAAGTTAATTGCTCATAGGCTCCGAGGATATGAATCTTCATCACCAGACACTTTCCTACATCTGCGTAACGTGAGGGGAAAATGGCACCGTGCAGCCAGCCAGTCCTCAGACAACCCAGCATTACCACAAGGTAAATAAATACCTGCATTAATTGGGAAGGAGAAGGAGAGTCATCAGCACTAGATACGTCTGGATTATCCCTTTCAGGGCATCTTCCCAGCTGCACGGGACCAGGTCCCTCCACAGCCCTTTCCCTCACCTGGGGCCCAACGAGAGCCCAGCATTCAGGTGTTCCACCTCCACAACTTCTGGGGGGCTGCTCAGGCTGCTGCAGAGCAGGAGCAGATGCCACAGAGCTGCAGGCTGTCAATGGCCAGGCAGCTGCTCTATCCTCAGCTCCAGCCTTCGAGGGCTTACACATCAGCCTTAGAAATTCCTCCTGGTTGAAACTCGGCACAAGTGTTTTGGGTTGGGAAAACACTAATTTCTACCAAATTTGGAATAAAGCTGTATAGATGGTTCTACACTGTAGGAATGGAGAAGATGAAAAAGCTGCTATTTTTGTAAACAATACTTACAGGGCCATCTTCAACTCAAAAAGGGCTTTGCTATTCCAACTGAAATTTTGTATGTCATTGATACCAGTCACCCCAGCTTGGTGTGAAGCTTTGTTCTACTTTTTTCTCAAAACAGTTTGTTTAATTCCAACAGGGGGTTCTACAAACAGAATGTTTTTATTGAAAAAAAAAAAAATACCAAAACCAAAACAACCCAACCCAACCAACCAAAAAAAAAAAAAAACAACCAAACCAAAAAAAAACAAAACCAAACAAACAAAAAAAACCCCAACATACAGCACAAAGCCTTGATCCTGAAGACAGAGCTGTGACCAGCAATCAGTGCCCGCACAGAGTGCTACTGATTTCCGTGAGCACATCTATTTGCAGGGAACTGAGCTGTGCAGATGCTGCTGCAGAGCGAAGGCTGTGAAGTGCAAGATGGCTGTCAGGCCTTCCAGGGCTGCAGGAAGAGTAAATGAATCACCGCTGAACTCCGATTGAAAACCACACCTTCAGCCTAGCTCCTCCTCACCATCATTTTGATCCTGAGCACCACAAACCACTGCGTTTCACCAGGACAGGTTAGAAGCTGCTGCTGAGTCAGGTCACCCTCTCCAACACCACAGCAGGTTCTTCATCTCTCAGACAATGAATTTTAGTAACTGGTGATGTGAGTGAGAGTGATATAAAATGTTCCCAGTTTAGACATCCAGCTCCGAAACAACTTTCAAGATGTCTAGCTCTAAAGTGCTGGGCACCTCTAGCATACTCTGAATTCCAGCACTGGTAGGGGTGATCCCTTCTTCTACACTTCCATCACAACACCCACAGTTCTCAGTATTTCTCAGCACCCCGTATGCTCTTCAAGACCTATTTCAGCCATCAGAAGGACAGAGAAACTGCCATTATTCACTTCTCAGTACCAGCTGCAACACAGCAGGGAAAACAACAGGGAACTGGTAGCAAATCTGCCGTGTGGATACAGGGCTGGGGACAAATAAGGACAACTCCATTTTATACCTGGCTGGCCTAGGAATACAATATGAGAAAATACAACAGGAGTCAGGCCCCTAAGTTTCAGATGACCATCTTTATGCTAAAAGGTGCAGTTTTGCTGCAGTGACACGCCGTGGCTCCAGCACACTGAGTGCTCAGCACAGGGCAGGGGACAGTCCCAGTGCCCTTCACAGAGACCTGCTGAGACGCTCTCCACGCTGAGCACTGCACCAAAAAGCACCACCCCAGCACTTGCAGCGGGTCGCTGCATGCGTCGGGAAGGAGCAGGGTGCTCAAACTGACCTGTGTCAGCAAACAGCGCGCTCTGAGCCTGCTGGGACCAGTGCCACCGTCCTGCTGTAACTGGAGAAGTTTGTCACTGTTAATTTAGGATGAGTACTGACTCCAGGGAAGGCGCATTCCCACCCTGTCCCTGGTGGCACGTGAGCCTGCAGCCAGGGAATCACCACCCAGCAACAGACTCTGCTGCTGGCCTTGGTAACATGCTAAATATAGCTGTATTTTCTGGCTCCTTGCAAAATGGAAGGAGTCAGAGGGACCATATTCATCAGCTTCTTTGCCAACTTCAGCCAGGAGGGAAAAGCATATGGAGTGCACTTCACAAGTCTTGAAAAATTGATATTAAAAATAAATCATTAAAAGATTTTATAAGAGTATCTTCTCCCCCTTTCTTCTCACACACTCCCCCACCCTTACAGTAGGCTGCTGGCATGTGATTGACTCTGTGTTGCCAACTTAAAGTCATGCTGTGATGGTGCATACTGTAAGTGGCTGGCATCTGACACCAGCTAACATGACAGCAGCTTGCAGTGCAACAAAGCCAGCGGTTTCAAGTGCAGCACTGATGGCAGCACACTTAAACCCAGTAGAAAAACCTGCATTACACCTGGCTGCTTGGAGTCCGCCGGGCTGCACCTTGTCATCTGCGTCCTAGCTCAGAGGGATGCAAATAAGAGGACGCTGGGTACTGCACCAGGCTGGATGAACCTACCCCTAAGCATGCTGCACGAATTCTCTTCTCCTGGCTGTTGAAGCGGAGCTGGGCTGTGCTGCAGAAACAAGACTTCCAGCACAAACCCAAGGCTTGCTCACGTTTGCACCAGTAATGCAGTTTGTTACAGTCTCTTTAATCCTGGACACCAGTGAGGGGTTCCAGAGCAAACACATGCTTTTGATTTTAATGACTGCACTGTATGTCCCGTCAATCACCAGCAGCTCTTATCTGAAAATCTTTAAGCTAATGTTGCTTTTCACACACTGGAGGCTGCAGTAGGCTTGTGCCCCGACTGTGCTGTCTTTTCCACAGACACTGATGACATGTGCGATGACTGACAGCAAAAAGAATGAGAAGAGACCAGACAGGAAAGGATTTCCATGTTTTGCACAAAACCAGGCACCAAAACACAGCTTGTCTACATAACTTTTCCCTGCATGAAGCAGC